AGATCGAGACCATCCTGGCGAACACGGTGAAACCCCGTCTCTACTAAAAAATACAAAAAAATAGCCGGGCGAGGTGGCGGGCGCCTGTAGTCCCAGCTACTCGGGAGGCTGAGGCAGGAGAATGGCGTAAACCCGGGAGGCGGAGCTTGCAGTGAGCTGAGATCTGGCCACTGCACTCCAGCCTGGGCGACAGAGCAAGACTTCGTCTCAAAAAAAAAAAAGAAAAAAAAAAAAAAATGTTCTAAAAAAACTCATTATTGGCCGGGCGCAGTGGCTCATGCCCATAATCCCAGCACTTTGGAAGGCTAAGGCGGGCAGATCACCAGAGATCAGGAGTTCAAGACCAGCCTGGCCAACATGGTGAAGCCCCGTCTCTACTAAAAATACAAAATATTAGCTGGGCGTGGTGGCGGGCACCTGTTACCCCAGCTACTCAAGAGGCTGAGGCAGGAGAATCGCTTGAACCCAGGAGGCAGAGGTTGCAGTGAGCTGAGATCCAGCCTAGGTGATAGAGCAAGACTCCATCTCAAAAAAAAAAAAACAAAACACACACACACACAAAAGCTCATTACTACGTATTTTCAATATGTAAAGATCCCTTCAGCTGAATAGTTTTACCCATGTTAAATGACCGTTACATTTTCTTCTTCTGAAAAAAAATCACATCTGAACTGCCCACGGGTCAGCTTAATGGCACTTACTACAGGTAAAGGCTGCACTTCTCACACTGCAGCGTGAGACAACCCGAGGTCTTAGGAGAAAATAGGGTTGTTTTCCTGCAATATCCATCTCACTTGATGGTAAGTCACTTAACATGGTTTTAAAAATAGCAAACATTATCATTTGCATGAATTTTTAAGATTTAAAAACACGAGTCCAAAAACCAGTAACAAAAACATGAATCTTGGAAGCAATTTTTTTTTTTAGACAGGATCTTGCTCTGTTGCCCAAGCTGGAATGCAGTGGTGTGACCATAGCTCACTGCAGCCTTTACCTCTAAGGCTCAAGCCAACCTCCCACTTCAGCCTCCCAAGTAGCTGAGACTACAGGTGCATGCCACCACACCTGGCTAATTTTTTGTAGAGATGGGTTGCCCAGGCTTGACAGCAACTTTGAGCATGTGATGAGTCACTATGGGTTCAGCCCCTAGACTTGCAGGAATGTTATCTTTGGCCACCAGTTTTGTTTTAGTAGAAAACACTAAGAAATACTAACTTAAGATACTGTACAGACAGAAGGAGAAGTGATTTAAAACAAAACAATACCAAATAACATGGCCTGAGGGTCAAACGCAAAATGGAAATAGCATAAACAGAGCATTTCTACAATGAGCACTGTGTGCTAGGCACAGTACTAACGGCCTCACCACGGATCAACTCACTTTGCTCCCTCAGCAACCCTGGGAATCAGGCACTCCACTAGCCCCCTTTACAGATACGGGAAGGAAGGCACAGAGACCGGCCCAAAATGGCACAGTTCTAAGTGGTGCTGCAGGGATTTCAGCCCTAGCAGGCTGGCTCCAGAGCCCACCCTCTCAGTTACCACACTGCACTTGCTGAGGGAGCTTCACCCTACCATTTCCACAGTTTCCCAGAGGAAAATGACTCCTAACAACAACTAGCCTGGCAGCAGGCTAGTTGCTTTGATAAACAATCCAACTTGGGCTGACAATGGTCACAGGAAAAAACAGGTCTTCATATTTTTATCTTACAGATTGGGAAACAAACTCAGAAGTAAAGCAACTAATTCCAAATTATATTTAATTTCAAATTATATATAAACAGCAAATGAGCTATAGAATGCAGGTTTTTGTCTTACTACAAAGTACGTGCTCTTTCCACGCAGCCACAGCGCCTCTCACTTGGACAGTGGATGCAGCTGTTTCAACTCTTCCTAACCATACTCAGTCAGGACTGCCCAGTCCAGGGGCCAGGGTTCCTTCCCTCCCATCACTCAAATGCTCCTTCCTGTGAAGTCCCCCAGCTAACACAGAGAACTGACTCCACCCCATCACGTGTATTTCATTTGCAACATGCAATGCCAAGGATCTCAACTCAGCTCCTTACTCCAAATTCGCATGATTTTATAACCTGAATCTTAGGTTTACATTTTTTCAGTGTTTGTTCCCCTGTATTTGTATCCTTAATAAGTCAAGTATCTCTAAACCTGGTATTTTATTTGTAGGTTCTTAAAAAGAAGGGATATGTGTTAAATGCCAGTGACCAAAAAAATGCTCTAAAATACCTTCTCCTCACCACAGCATGCAGTTATACCCAGGAAGGGATCTGGAATCAGCTAAGGAGAAGACATTCTGAGAAAATGACGAAAGTCACTCACAACCAGTGTTGGTAGGCCTCAGGCTTCCAATCATTAGGCGGGAAGGACTGTGATTTTCTCAATCATACGTATCTGAGGTGCTTTGTTCTGTATACAAATACAAAGCAGGGTTTCTCAGCCTCAGCACTTCTAACATTTGGGGCTGGAAAATGCCTTGTTGAGGGAGCTGTCCTATATGTAGAATTGTAGCAGCAACTCTAACCTAGATGCCAGTGGCACCCCACACTCCCAATTCAACAATAAAAAAATGTCTCCAGGCCGAGCGAGGTGGTTCACGCCTGTAATCCCAGCACTGTGGGAGGACAAGGCGGGCGGATCACTTGACTCCAGGAGTTTGAGACCAGCCTTACCAACATGGCGAAACCTCATCTCTACAAAAAATACAAAAAATTAGCCAGGCGTGGTGGCACATGCCTGTAATCCCAGCTACTGGGGAGGCTGAGGTGGGAGGATCACTTGAGCCTGGAGGTCAAGGCTGCAGTAAGCCATCATCATGCCACTACACTCCAGCCTGGGTGACAGCGAGACCCTGTGTCACAAAAGGAAAAAAAAGTCCGATATAAAATAAAAGAACTTATATATGTGACCAGACACATTTTGCTCTCCTCAGTTTCATACTTTTGACAGAAAAGTAACCAGTTTGATTTCTAAATCCTGATACTTTTTTCAAATATTCAGATTGACTTAATTGTGGAAAAAATATCAACTGTGCAGACATTTGATTACCTTGTTAATTTCACATTTGAACGTTCCATGTTTGATAGTGGTTAACTAAATTTTTCAATAAAGAGGAATAATTTCTTTAAAAAGATTAGTGTTCTAAGAATGCTGTTGTTTTTAAAAAGGATTTTTGTACTCATTACGTTATAAATGACACAAATTGTTCTTATTAGTCATGCAGGAATTCTACTACTCTTGAGAAAACTTCTCAATTAAGAGTTTACTTTTAGAATGTTCTCTAATTCCTGAGATGTTTACAATGACACCGTTTACTACACAGAAGGTGGTATAATATAATCCCCTTAGTGTCTCAGCATCTAAGGCAGTTTATTTCAGGCGGTTACGAAGAGACCTGGCTCTTAAACAAATTGACAAAAAATGGCTCCATCTATATGAAGAGAGTATTTTAGTGACTAACAACCACTGAAAATCTCATCAAATTTTGAAGCAAAGCTGCACTACTTAGTTAATACTGAAGTAAACAGACCAGTGAATACAATGAAACATCCAAAGCTCATTCACGCCAAGCTGGTTATCAGAAGACCCGCCATCATCCTAGACCGTCCAACTTGCCAAGAGAAGAGAGACCTCTCAGAGCAGGCTACCAGCATTTGCAAACTAGAGGCACATTAGTGAAAAGAGCCAGCTTGTAGTTCATTGTCCAGCAAGAGAAAATGGCAAATACTTAGACCTACTAAAGTCAGCTTAATCTTTAGTCATGAAAGATATACCATTGAGAACTAAGAATAAAAATATAACCCTTCCAGGTCATGAAGAGCTAAACTGACCTTAGACTGAGGGACCGTAGGTGCACACTATATGAAGAAGCAAAGTTTTGATTTGGCTTCATCAATAGTTTTTGAATTAAGCCAACTTGAAATAAAAGCTATATACATACTGTGCAAACATTCCTAATGACTTCCTGAAGTTCAAGGTTTAGAAAAACAAAGGGATTGATTTCTACTTGAAGACAACAGTCGTGTATAATTTTTGACATATGTGAAGTGTTCAGTGGAGGAGGAGATGTAACTGAGTGTAAAATTTTATGCAGTAAGCATGCTACAAAGTGAAAATAGTAAGTGGAAAATAGTATCACCTGTAGCAATGAAATGAAGTTACCACTTCTTGCAAATAAAACATAGCAAGGATAGATCATTTAAGGAACAAGCAAATCAAACCTAATTCAGGCTGTCACACTGCCCAAAAAGGAAAGCGAGCAAATAGTTCACTTGCCCACTTGTCGTATCTCAAGAAGAGCAGCCCAGGAGCTGACTCTTCAGTGACTTAGACTGTGCGGAGTCAGGAGAAGGAGCCATGCCACCTCTCAGTCCTGGCGGGGACTGTGGCACTGGCCCTGTTCCTTCTGACTGCTGATCAACTGCAAATGAAAGACAACAGTGGCCACACCACCAAAATACAGAAAGGTGTCATCACAGGTAATTCAAATACTTGAAGCCTTACAGAGATTTCTGTGAGAAACTTTTACTGAGAACAAATTAAAATTAATACACAGTACACTTTGAAAAACGTAAATGTTATAATTTGCTAAATTACTTGTCAATATTTTATACTTATCTAGAAAAAAATTAACATTCATTTTCTTGAAAAGTTTATACACAGAGTAACTTTTTGCATCAGATATGCTTTATGGCTTTTAAAATTTCATTGTGATCTTTTGTTTACAAAAAAACTTAGTGATTTCAATAACTCAGGAACAACTGCTTGTATTAACACTGGACAGTGACGAAATCAGATATATATATGTAACCGTATTTCACTGATATTTCTGTAAAAACAGAAACAAATGTATTTTATATTTTCAATTTAAAAAGCAAAATGTTTAAGTATTCTTAGTAAGACATCAAATGGAATATTTATGGACTCAAGTCCTCTTTCCTCCCCACTCTGCGAAATACATACATAAACAGTAAACAGCTGCTCACCTGGATGACTTTATAGAAGTAGGCGTACTGCCGAGCTGTGTTTTTATACTGGCTGAAGACATCATGTATAGCTTGTGTGGACTGAAGATACCGAACTTCATCTTCTTCAAAGTAGAGAGGTGTGTCATATTCACTAGGGAGAGTCTGAATGTAGGGCTGCCAGAAGGAGTTAGGGTTGGCTCGCTCACACAGCAAATGAAAGGCCAGTGCGATGTTTCCCATGGCTTGAAGGATTCGGTCTTGAGAATATAAGGGCCCTGAATTAACCCAGAAGTTAACAGCGTAAGTTCCACAAACTTCTTAAAAACTTCATTTAAATATACATTTACAAATTACAGGAAAACTAAAAGGTCTTGTAACATTGAAAGTCAGGTACAGGATGGGTGCGGTGGCTCACACCTGTAATCCTAGCACTTTGGGAGGTCAAGGTGGGAGGGCTGCTTGAGCTCAGGAGTTTGAGACCAGCCTGGGCAACACAGCGAAACCCCGTCTCTACAAAGAAAAACAAAATACATATATATATATATATATATATTAGCCAGGTGTAGTGGCGCACCCCTGTGGGAGAATCATTTGAGCCTGGGAGATCAAGGCTGTAGTGAGCTATGATGGTGCCACTGTACTCCAGCCTAGGTGACAAAGCGAGACCCTATCTCAAAAAAATATATATATAATAATAATAGTAACAATAAAGGTAATGTGCATCTTTTTTATAACATTAAATGAAAAACACTTAATGCATATTTGAGGGACTATTTCACCAGTCGAGAAAAACCAAGTATGATCCTTAGTGCCACAAAATGGAATTTTATATATTGTCATTTGTATTTTGCCTTGAACAGTCAGAAATTATTCTCACCCAACACTGAATTTTTAGCAGATTCAACAGTCATTAGTAATTTTCGTGGAACCCATAAAAACAATTCTTCTGCCTAGGGAAAAAAATAATAGGAGAATCATCAAAACATGGTACAGTCTTCAATCCAACTATACCTACGGTCAGAAATCCAATCACACATGAAGTACAACTTAAGGCTGCATATCAGCACTTCAAATAAATATTCAAATATATTTTTAAATGTAACCATTTATCTTATAGTTAAATGAGTAGAAGGATAGCTTAAAATCCTGTTTCCAATAGAAAAACTAAAAACTACATATGCTGACGAGCAAATAATCAAAGAAGGGACTTTGAACTTTAACTTGAAGCAAATACAACACCTGGAGTAGAGCACAAAGGTGTTTATTTTATTCTTTGCTGTACTTCTAAGTTCTAAAACCAGACCAAAACAAAATTTCTGCCTCCAACAAAAACCCTAATCTGTCGACGTGAATTACTACTACTACTGAGTTTTAAAGCCAGAGTAACATTCCTTCCTCTACATACTTATCTTTAAAGCACAACAGTTACTAGTGAAATCACATGCCCAGAAGACACACTGGTTTACAAATTTGTTTCCCAAAGCTTTTTCTCATTTCTTGGCAACACAGGATGCTTCCTTTTGCTGTCCTGTGTATCTACACTGCACAAAACGGGCACATGGTGCTCCTACATGTGAGAAGACAGCAAGCGGGCAGCTGTCTGCAAACCAAGAATGCCCTCACCTAGACAGACCATGCCAGCACCTTGAGATCTTGGACATCCAGCCTCCAAATTGTGAGAAATAAATGTCTGTTGTTTAAGACCTCCTCCCCAACCCTCGCCTCCCCACAAAAGCACATAGTGAGGAAAGTCCACAGCTCAGATCTTCTGGGCAACATCCACACAAATGCTGCCTTGAATCTGATACAAGAGAAGAACATGTGGCACTTTGCCTTCACCAATGTCAACTATTAAGTTATCTGTCTTGTCTCTTACTATACAGATTATAGGCATCATGAAGAAAGAGACTGTTTTTTTTTTTTTGGAAGCAAGATACTACCAGTCACACAGCAGACATTTAACAGGTATCTAATATACCAGCATGTGATTTACCAATCTATCAATGAAAGGTTAACTACAACTTAGCCAAAAATGTTGCTGGAGGTTTGAGGGGGCCAAATAACACCCTTTCCTCCACCCAAGTTCTGAAGCAACTGAGAGAGAGAGAGAATACAACAGATGGTCACCCAAAATATCACCTCCTGAATCCCAGAATTAGACAGACTCCCCCACCTAGTTACAGGCAGAGCCGGATCCCCACCGCCCTCCCCACGTATGGCCTGCCCCTGCAAAGCTTCCAGGGCGGAGAGCAGAGTGGAATGAATGCATACGGGCAACCAGCTCCCATCGAGAAAAAGGCCAAGTCCAGTTCCTTCTCCTAAACAGATGAAGGAGCGCCTCCTCTTACAAGAGGCATGAGTGAGGGGTGAGGAAAGGCCAGGCATGGCCAGTGACTGCTGCTCCCTTCATGTGGAAAGAAGAACCAAGAACAAAGAGGGGAGAAAAAGCCCTTCTCCCTTAGCAGGTGGCTGTTTCTCTCTTCTCTCCCTATTGCCACTGGTGCTGCCATTTCAGTGAGCTCCTAGTACCTTCAACCTCACAGGTATCCATTCCAGACACTGGTAGGCATCCCCACACCACCAGTCCTCCACCCACTCACCTCCGGTAAGTCACAAAATAAAAAACCATGAGTCCACCTCCTTGTCTTTAGGTAAATCTCAAAATCCTGTGAGGCATGTTCTATGGCCTCCTAACAGAGGCTCAGAAATGTGAACTGACTTGTCCCAGTCACTGGTTAGCAGCTTGGCTCCCCAGAGGGATAAGGTGGGAGGAGTTGCTTAGAACATGAGCCTGAGGTCCTCCAGGCTGCCTATCTGCCCACAGGCTCAGAACTAGAACTTCCCCATCACAGGTCTACCTCCTCACCCTGCACCCTCTGCAGCACAACAGTTCAAACACACATAGATCCCCTCAGACCAACATTTTATAAACTCACCTTGATATCTCTTGTTGCTCTCAAACCAAAGCCCTCTTCTTTGAAGTTAACCATTTCAAAACCCTCGACAGAAGCCCCATTTTCAGAGGCCCATTTCATTAGATCAGGAAAGTAATCTTCTCTTTTTCCATCAAAAGTAACGGACAGACCTATATTAATCCACGTTTTAGAAAACAAGAGCTACTTTTAGGACACATATCATTCACACGTCTCTCAGAAAATAAAAAAAAGGCCATAACTAACACTGGAAATAGTCTTAACACACCAATCGTGAAATCAAAGCTAATCACATGGTCACAGTACATACCTTAACTGATGACAGGGAAGAAGAATTAAAATCCTAAACTCCCTGTCAGTTACAGTGAAATATATACTGACACTAGGTAATATAAATATTGACTGTTAGGTACTATTAGGTAATATGATGGCAAAGGGGAGAGAGCTTCTATTACCATTACTATGATTTATAGAGCAGTTTTCTCCTTAAAAGTCCAACATGCCATCTCTCATATTCACATGTGCTTTAACAAAATTTCCATTAAAACAAAAATGAGTAATTCACATTATGTGCACAAGGAGACATGGGAAAGGATGAACCCTACAGTCCTGATTCTAAGAACACAAAACTGTAGAGCTGTAAGCCAGAAGGCTGTAATTTAAATGGGCTAGAGCTATGTGTACCAATGTAAGTATAACACTAAATGTACCACGGTGGTTTTTTAAAAATCATGTAGCATGACACCATTTATGTAAATTTTTCAAACAGCAATTACAACCATATATTTTTATGGGGTTTTTATGAAATAGAAAACATTCCCAGTGAAGACGAACACCCCGCAGGCAGGGAGGGAATGGAAGGGGATGAAAAGGGGAGGCTTTGGCTGTATCTGGGATGTTTTCTTAAAAACAAATACAAAAACAAAACCAAAGGCCGAGGAAGGGAAAGGAAAGCTGACCAGTGGGTGAGAATAAGAGAAAGGACAATGTGAATACTACTTTGACACATGCTCAGCTGGGGTAGCAGATTCCCGGGCATCTGTTACATTAATTTCTGAACTTCTCAGCATGTCTGACATAGTTAAAAAGATGAAAAGACATGCATAGAAAAAACCATTCCATTTGGACGAATAAAAGGAGAGGAAGAGGAACTTTACTATGAGGAAGCTGGGTGTGGCACATAGCTCAGGCGCCTGTGGCCATCTTACCACAGCATAATTAACAGTCAACCTGATATGTGAAGAGGGCATGCTGGATATGCAAAGATACCTGCTGAATGGTGAAAATGACCAGAATGAGGACTATTCGAAGACGGAACTTACTATTCACTCCCTGAGAACTGGCATAATGCTCTACCCTCAGTGTCAGGTGCAGTAAACAGTATCTATGCAGAAGAGAAACTAAGGCTCTAGCCACTTGGTGACAAAGGATTAGCACCGACTCCTATTTAGTGCAAATAAACCCATTATGAAGGAACCAGTTTGAACATGCCCATTATGAACTCACCACTTTGGAGTTTGAGACCATCTAAGCTGAAGACTACATGTTTAGAGGTGTGTATGGAAGAGCAATGAAACCACTACTTAAGACAGCAAATAAAAAACAAACCCTCTCCCGATGCCCTTCATGACAATAAAAAAGCGAGTCTCAGAAGATGGCCCCACATTCCAATGCGTGCTCCTCAGGATGTTTTCCGCTTCTACCTCCCATGTGGTCCTGCATAATAATCTTTACTTTCTGTGCTTTACAGAACAAAAACAATAGGTATACTGAACGAGCTTTTTCAAACTCACACTTAGCCCCACGCCAGCCTGGATGAGAATCATTACAATGGCAACTGCATACGTCCTGTGAAAACACAGCTTAAGGAATATGACCACACCTCTTATTTAACTGAGATGTGTGTGAATTCATCATATACCTTGCTAATGCATTAACCAATCAGCATTTATTTGTGTGTTGACCATATACACTATATGCACTGCCCTGAAACTCAAAAGGAAATAACAGTATAAAAACCAGATTTAAATACTTTAAAAAACATAAGTAAATAAATAAAATTGTGTCATTTTAGCCCCCAGATATATTTTATTCTCCTAAAGCTCAACATTCTCATCCTTTCCGAAGCAGGTAATAGCATCTCTGAAAGGGGAGAAATCTCGCTAACTGCCCTCTCTTCCGGTCTGCAAGCCCCACTATAAGACCTTTCAGAATGACACCAGTGATTCTGAGACCTTCACTACTCGTCAGCCCTCTGACCTAATCAAGTTTCTACATGACATTATTGAAACACAGTTATCATTCTAGCAATTTTACCTTTCTGCTTTTTCCGTATTTTCTCCACTAGAGTCCGGATCTGCACATACTCTTCCCACTCTTTTCCTGGGCCAGGCGCAGGACTGCTGCATTCTGTAACATAAGAGGCATGGTACTGAAACACTTCCCTCTTTCAACTTAACCTACTAGTCTGCAGAAGAAAGAGGATTTGGACTTTGTTGTTGCTGTTTGGAGTTGGTTTATTTTTAAAAGACAGACATATGACAGCCACGATAATGAACGTGAGAAGTACAAGGCAGCTACACTTCTCAAAGCAGACAAATCCTGGGGAATCCTAAAAACATCCCCCACTGAACGTACCCAAGAGAGAGCACGGAGCGGACACCTAGCTCACAGCCACCTTCTTCTCAGTTAACTCTTTTTAGAATATACTTACTAACAGGAAAACCTATGATAAAAAGCTAAGCTAAAATGCAAACTATCCCCCCAAAACTCTTCTATATGGCAAAAAGAAGTTAATAGTAAAAGTCAACCTTTCTTTTTAGTTAAACCCCATAACACTGATTCCCTAAGGGAACCAGTGAAATTGGACATAAGGACAATTAGTCGACAAACATTTCACATCCATGTGTAGGGCACTATATTCAGCAGTCTGGGGGAGTTGCAAAATGAGATGGCATAGTCACTGCTAAAAAAGAAGCTAAGATTACACTGTGGGGCCAGAACCAAAAGACCAACACCCGAGACTGAGGTGTGAGTTTGGAAGGCTGCACACTGGGCACCCCGCCTATTGGCAGCTCTTTCTTTTCACACAACTGCATTGGTTCAGACAGCCCCTTCCCACACTCCTGCTTAACCTCTGGGGCCTCTTTGCCCTCTATTAAAAGAGCACATGTGGCAAATAACTAACAATAACTAGATATGCGCTGAGTCTTAACTATGAAGGGTAGCCAGTCTTACTTTATTCTCCAACAACAAGCACTGACTGAGGCCTGGAACGGGCCTCAGAGGTGAAGCAGCAGTGAGCCTATCCTCAAGCTGCCAGAGGCAGGGGAGCTAGGCGACGAATGCTAAGGACAGCCACACTCCACTGGCCCATAGGATCCAGGGGAGCACTCGGGAGGGACCTGACTCCAACTTGCCTGCGGCCTGCTTTCTGTTTCGAAGGGAAGGCTGCGTTTTTACTTGGGGTTTAGCCTGCCACATAATCTAAACATGGACAAAGGGCAATGGAGTGACCACCAGCTACAGCCGAGGCACTAACTGCACCAATTCAAATTCATAATTTTAAAAAGTTACCAAATCACACTAACTTGCTAAAACAAGTACAGGCACTTAGTAGAAATTCCATTTCCTTAAGCCAAGAACTCTCAAACTACAGCATGTAAAAATCAGATACACAGCCAGGTGCAGTGGCTCACGCCTGTAATCCCGGCACTTTGGTAGGCAGAGGCGGGAGGATCTCTTGAGCTCAAGAGTTCAAGACCAGCCTGGGCAACATGGCAAAACCTCATCTCTACAAAAAAATTAGCTGGGCATGGTGACACAGGCCTGTAGGCCCAGCTACCCAGGAGAATGAAGTGGGAAAATCACTTGACCCCAGGAGGTCGAGGCTACAGCGAGCCACAACAGTGCCATGGCACCCCAGCCTGGGCGAGAAAGCAAGACTTTGTCTAAAAGAGAAAAAAAATCAGAAGCACCGTCAATGGAATCACCAAAAAGGAAGGCGAGCCATTCCAGTGAGGGGCAGAGATCTGAAGGCCGGGTCTCCGAGAGGCATGCTGGACTCACCTGGGCTAACAGCCCGTGAAGCACCTTCACACACATCTCACAAAGTCCTTGGCTCACTCCCTGAGACAGTTATTATCTATGTTTACCAAGAAGAACATTGCGTTTCAGAAGGTTCAGTAATCTGTGGAGGGGCACACTGTGCACAAGTAGTAGAGCTGGTTCTTGCCCACGGGTCCTCAGGGAAGACCATGTTCCAGGTGACTGTGCTATTGAAGCTCACAATTATTTCACCCAAGCCTTGTTAACAACCACACGGTTCCGACAGGTGTTTCCATCCTCACAGGTGAGGACTGCAAATCTGGGTAGCTGTGTGACTCATCCAGGCCCACAGCTCATCAGCTCGGACCTGAATATCAGCTTGTTTGATGCATGCTTCCCCATTCTGGTGACAAGAAAAAGGCAGAGCCACCACATCAAGGCAGGGAGAGCCCAGAAGAGGACTTACTCTGTAGCAGTTCACTGGTCAGGTTCAAGATTTCCTTTGGTGACACAGTTGCTGTAGCACCAGTGCCGGATTTCTGAGTTTTTACTCGACTCTTCTTACCCATTTTTCTGACTACAGAGAAGAGAAAGAAAAGAGAAAAAATTACATTACCAAAGAACAAAATAAAGTAATAAAACATGTTCAACACGGCAGTGTCTTAGTCTTCAGAGGCTGATTTTACCTTACATATGCCATATCCTGAAGTTTTCTACCATAAAAAGAAATGTGTAGTATTAGTATTTAGAGGTTCTCAAACGGGGGGAAAAATCTGCTTTGTAGCCTCTGGAAGAAAAGTTCATTCTTTATCAACTACAAAAACTATAGCAGAGCAAATTTTACTCTAAATGTTTTTTAAATTACATAGATTTCATTGTGCATACTAATATACTCCAGTATACTAGAGAGATAAAAACCATGCATACATCATACACATATGGGCATAAAGACCTATATATTCTCTCCCCACTTTGCCTTAAAATAATCATTTCCCATTAACCATAACTGTATCATAAGCAACTGATTACACTCTCTGAACAAATGCTGAAGACATTTTAGAGCTGGAAGAAACTCTGGCGAGCTTGGGATTTCCCATGGCACAAAATGTAGGAGTTAGACTAGCTCGCCAGAGTTTCTTTTTCCCCGTTTGAGAACCTCTAAATACTAATACTACACATTTCTTTTTCTGGTGTCCTGGGTAAAGACCCTACGAGATAACGCTTGCTTGCAAGTGTTTTTAACAACAGGTCTCAAAGTAAGGAAGGGACGTGGATGTGTGAAGAGCAGATGGGGCAATTCAAAGACAGGGACAGGACAAGAAGCGTGAGGGAAGCACAGTGAAGAAGGGAACCCGGCTGGAGAGGGGGTCTCTAGGGAAGCCTAGCGAGGCAGCCACTCAAGAGAGGATGAGAGTCACTGCCAGAGGTGTCTGGCTTTGATTCTCTAGAGACAAGAGGCTAAGATGATGACCCAGGAAGATGGAGAAAGTGTTCAGCCAAGAAGCTGGCAGGGTGAGTCATAAGCTAATGAATAACAAACCACCACGAGGATGGCCTCCAGGAGCCCCAGTCAGTTACACTTCATCTCAAGGGAGAATCAAAAAGCAGACTTTGGTCCATTTGTTTTTTACAAAAAGAAGTAACTATCACCATGTGAAGAACTATGCTAAGACAAAGGTTTAAAACATATTCTCCCACTATACAGGTGATCACTGATTCTGTTGTAACTGAATCCATGCAAATATGGTCATGTGCTAAAATAGTAGGAAATCACATTATTTAACAGGCTAACATGCCTATCTTCTCTTATGTATCTAACGTATAAAGAATAATGTGTAACACATTAATCTAATAAGTCTTCTAAAAATTAGTATAAAATAGTGTCAGCCGGGCGCGGGGGCTCAAGCCTGTAATCCCAGCACTTTGGGAGGCCAAGACGGGCGGATCACGAGGTCAGGAGATCGAGACCATCCTGGCGAACACGGTGAAACCCCGTCTCTACTAAAAAAAATACAAAAAAAACTAGCCGGGCGTGGTGGCGGGCGCCTGTAGTCCCAGCTACTCGGGAGGCTGAGGCAGGAGAATGGCGTGAACCCGGGAGGCGGAGCTTGCAGTGAGCTGAGATCCGGCCACTGCACTCCAGCCCAGGCGACAGAGCGAGACTCCGTCTCAAAAAAAAAAAAAAAAAAAAAAAATTGACAGTGTCAGTCATCATGGAATAAAAGGAAACTGGTAAAAATACGTAAAACTTTTGTAGCAATAAAAGGAATTCTTTTTCTGTGATCAAAAGCAGAAAATTTAAGTGAGGGGAGGGCAGGATGACAGACAGCTTAAGTACCTTTTCCTATGCTTAAGAACTACCTTCTTAGAAGAGAAAAAAGCTCCCCATGGTTCCGGCTCACAGCCAAGAGCAAGGGCACAGCCTGGACAGAGCACCTCCACCCTTCTGGGCATTTCAGGCCTCCCACATCTGCGGAGGGCATCTCTGGAGGACCTTCGAACTTAACCTGAAAATCACTAAAACCACCAAGGAGTCTGGTAATAAGGGCATTAATCACACTTCCAAATACAGCGGGTCTGCTGGCTTGGCAGGAGGAGATGCAGAAGCATGCTGTCAGCAATGGCTTAGCTGGCCTCTCCCTTCAGCCTTGCCTGCAAGACCTTCTGCTGTGGACGCCTGTAAATGAGGCAAGAACGTCACTCTGATGAGGAGTTTCAAGACCCTTTCCCTTCTCTTAACAGTAAGTGAGCCTGGGATGGCGGGGCTGCTCTGCACCGGCTCTCTCAGGGGTGCCCACCAACAGCTACAAAACAGGCTCTGTTCACTCTGCCTGCAGCCCCTCACCTCCCCCAATGTCTTCCCTCAGCGATCCACCCAACTCCAGTTGCTCATTGATGTAGCAGCAGCTGTTCCCTGGAGCTCAGTATTCACCCTCTGCCAGGTGCTGAGCTAAGACACAGCTCTTCACTTGATCTTCCTCGACATTTTAAGCCGTAGATACCATCCTCATCTTTCAGATGACATTCTCAGAAAGGTTAAGTCCCTTCTCTTTGTCCAAGGTCATGCATCAGGTAAGAAGCAGAGCTAGAATCTGAACCCAGAACCACTACCACACTGCCTCTGTTTAAATACAGATTAAAAAAAAAAAAAAAGTACATGGCAGCGGGGAGTCTTCCAGGTCAAACACCATGGGATATGGAGCACACCCCCAACACTCCTGCCAGCAGCCGCTCGGCCCACACCTGGGCAGCTCCAGCCACTTCCTCCTGCACCTCCTGAACGCGTCCTCATAGTTAAACCCTAACACTAGTCTCGTACATCTCCCTGCCCAAGCCTGTCCCTGCTGCTTAAATCTACCCTCACACTGCCACCACCCTAAATAGTAGGAAATCACATTATTTTAATAGGCTAACAAGCTTATCTTCTCTTATGTATCTAATGTATAAAGAATAATGTGTAACACATTAATCTAATAAGTCTTCTAAAAATCAGTGTAAAATATACAGTGTCAGTCATCCTGGAATAAAAAGAAACTGGTAAAAATATGTAAAACACCCTCCCAGCAACACCAAGGGCTCCCAGTCCCTCTACAGCGGTCATCACATGCCTATCTCTGCCTCCCCATTCACCCTTTGACTGTAAAATTTTAGTCACTTATTCACAAACTCTTAGTTTTCTCTAAAACCGCTGTCCAGGAATCCCCTTAAAGTCTACCTGGTCCCCCTAGTCACAATCTTCTCTTCTCTGCACCTCTGCAAGTCCTGGTATGTTCTCCCATTATTGCTGGGCCCCACTGTACTAAAAGACTTGCTCACATACCAGCTTCCCTTCAGATAACAGGCTCCTTGAAGACATCCTGTCTTGTTTCTATTTGTAACCCCAACATACAGTCCAGGCCTCAACACAGGGCAGGTGCTACACAGAGGATGCCACCCTGAGCTCCCAGGGAAAAGCATCGGCACAGGTCTTAGGTTAGGTTACAATCTCCATTTCTGAAGTTTCTACCCAGGTTTCCATTCCCTTGGAACAGACAGGAAATGTCTAATTCCTGCTCCACATGGCAGACCATTAAAAATATGGCTACAATGGTCTGAAAACAAAATACATTCCACTGACAGTAATTCTACAGTCAAGTACTTATAACTCCAATTGTTCTCAAGATTTCTTTTTTAAGCCAGAAAACTGCTGGCTCTTAGAAATGAGTAATAGGTGTATAAATACAGCAGAGGTGTAATTTCAAAACACACCATAGCCCCTGGGAAGGCAGATATGCTAGAATGCAATCTTCGAAAGTCCTGCAGAGTGATGTTTATGCAGTCATTGAAGCCACTCCTAGCTAAGACCCTCATCTCCAGCTCTTTCAATCCCTTTGGGATTCATTTCCCTGCCTACAAGTCCTCCCCCACCACAATGTCAACAGTCAGCCTTAATAAATTGAGGTATAAAATACAAACTGCATAGGATGAGCATAGTGGCTCACGCCTATAATCCCAGCACTTTGGGAGGCCAAGGCAGGTAGATTGCTTGAGCTCAGGAGTTCGAGACCAGCCTGGACAACATGGCGAAACCTTGTCTCTACAAAAAAATACAAAAATTAGCTGGGCATGGTGGTGCAACCCTGTAGTCCCCAGATACTCAGGAGGCTCAGGTGGGAGGATCCCTTGAGGCTGCAATGAGCTGTGATGGCGCCACTGCACTCCAGCCTGGGCGACAAAGGGAGACCCTGACTCAAAGAAAAAAAAAAAAATAGAAACCTACAAACCGCATAGTGCACGAATTCATGGACTCATCCCCATACATGCAAGGCCCCACCCTTGCAGAAGGTAACAAACACACCAGTCCTTGCCAGCAGTCCTGATGAACCCTTTCGCAACCAGTCCTTCCCCCAGCAGCCCACATGCCAACTTCTATTACCATCAATTAGTTCTGCCTATTCTTAAACTTCATATAAGTGGAATTCTACACTGTGTAGGTTTCTTTCACTCACATGTCTTTCCATAGCTCACAGCATAACGTGTAACCTCCCTAGCAAGGTCTTCGAGGACTGAACTGCCTCACCCCATTTTATGTGTCCAGCTTCATCCTACCTTTACACAACACAGCTCCAGGGGACTGCTCATGTTCCTCCCTTTTTCTGGAATGCAGCTATCCCCACTGCCTGTCCCCTTGTCTTCCCCTGGCAAGATTTTTCATATACTTCAAGGCTCTACCAAAATGTCCCCTGTGCCTTAAGGGAAACTCCAGACTCCTCCATGCAACCCTCATACCCAACAAAGTCAGTCAGAAAGGGTCAAAGTCAAGGTTATTACAGATGCTAAAGGGTTGGCTTATGTTGGGATTCTGTCTTTTGGCAACCTCTTTGGGCTATTTCCCTCCCACAGGGATACAGGCTATAAAGTAGAAAAAGTGGCTAGCCTACGTTAGGCAGAAAGAATCTTCGTCTTAATTAAGGATGGGGGGTGGGGAGCTGCCTATCCTTCTTCCAGTATATGTATTTCCCTAGGGCACAGGATCCTAGACCCAAGTCATCTCCTCAGTCTGTTCCCCCCAGAAACAAGTTTCCAGGGCTCTTCCAG